GTAGGCCTTCAACTAGCTCAAGATCACTTAGTTTAGATAGAATCCCTATACTCACATGTCCAAGCTTCCTATGCCAATATATTTGATCATTTTTTTTCTAATGACATTAGACAAGTAATCTTAAAACTTTCTTTACCATCTAGATTTATGACATATGGCTTATTTTTACGTCTCCCGGTGAAAAGCACTTTCTTATCAACTAATGACTCGATGTAGCAACAATCATGTTCAAAAATTATCCTCTTATCTTTACCACACATTTGACTAATAGAAAATAAGTTACGCTTAAGACCTTTTACTAGCATCACATTGTCAATGCATGGATCTGAACCTACTATTCCTCTTCCTATTATTTCGGCAGATTTATTGTCACTAAAGAATACCTTACCACCTTTACCTTCTTTGAGTGTGGTGAAAAAGTTTGGATTTCCTGTCATGTGGTGTGAGCATCCACTATCTACTATCCATTCAATTGCCTCCATGGTCACTTGGAAGCAAACCTGTGCCATTAGCAGTCATGTAGTTTTGGGTTTTTGTATCGAGACTTTCTTTGATACAGTTTGTTTGTGATCTTGAATAGAACAAAATCTACTAATGTGACCGACTTGATGACAAGTAAAGCAAGTTCTATATTTTTCATTTAGTATTCTCTTCCTACATACTTGCCTAATGTGCCCAACCTTATGAAAATAGAAACATTCTATGTTTCTATATCTTTGTTTTGAAGTTCCATTCCTCTCATGTTTTAATGACTCTTCAAAAATCTTTGACTTGCCTTTACTACATGATTTTTTTTTTTGAAGAAAGGGAGGCCAAAGCCAAGGTTACAAACACAGAGGTCTGGTGGTTAACAGCACTGCACACGAGCAGCTCGCCACCAGCTGCGGAAAAATCAGACCAAAAACAACGAGGATCAAAGCCAAAAAACAGGAAGTTGCCCATGAAACCCAAACAGCCCATCTAGTCTCTATTCAGCAGAACTCTCCGAGGGAAACTAACCCCCACAATGTCCTCAAGCAAGATTTCTTCTAGCTCTCTAAGTGGACTTGCTAATTCACTCGTACCAAAGGGATAGACGAAACTGTGCTTCGAGAGCCAGTCCGCGGCTCTATTCCCTTCTCTGTACGTGTGAACCAGCCTGACCACCCAGTTCTGAGACATCAAGCGTTGAATAGCAGCCAACATCGTGGAGTAAGGGTGGACGGGGTCTTCTCGCGCTTTGATGAGGTCAATCACAAGCTGCGAATCTGTTTCTAAGATAACAAACTGAGTGCTTTGATTCCAAGCCATGGTTAGCCCCTGGTGAATGCCCCACAACTCTGCAAGAATAGCTGAACCTGTTCCAATCTTGCAACAGAAGCCACAAATCCACACTCCATTATTATCCCGGAGCACCCCGCCTGCCGTCGCTAGCCCTTGATTTCCCTGAGCTGCGCCATCCGTGTTCATTTTCCTCCACTCACCCGGAGGCGTCTTCCAACCAATGAGCTGATCCGATCTCAAAGGTTTCTCTATCGCACTCAAGCTTGAGGTGGCATTATCCCAAGTCCTCAACCAATCAGTAGCTTTTGAAGTGACATAGTTGACTATGGAAGACTCCGCCATCTTCTTCCCGTGAAAAATAAATTCGTTTCTATACTTCCAAACATACCAACACATTAAGGCGAAGAGGCTCGGCCAGTCCTCCTGGATATCCATCCCCAGTTTCTTCTCCAAGTTCATTTCAAACCAACTCACCTGATCTGCAGCAAAGAAGCTCTGATGAGTCTGACCAGCGAGCAACTTTTCCCAACTCTTCCTCGCGGCAGTGCAGTCTCTAAGGCAGTGAATATTGGTCTCAACTGCTTCTTTGCAAAGCTGGCACGTGTCATCAGTAGTGAGGTGACGGGACTTTCGAACACTGTTAGTGGACAGCTTCCCTTTAGCGGCGAGCCAAATAAAGAAGTGGACTCTTTCCGGGCAATGGAGTCTCCAAATCTTCCTCCAGTCGATGCGATCCTGTCCTGCTTGGTCTGGCGTCATGGTTTGATAGGCCGAGCTAACACTGAACCTGCCATTAGGAGTGTTTCTCCAAAAAAGAGTATCATCGTCGCTGGTCAGGGGGTCTAGCCACACAGCCCGCATTTTATCGATGATTTCAGGCGGAAGGAACGGCTGAATCTCCTGAAAATTCCATCCTGTATTTGCATCCCAGTAGTCAGCCACCCTTTTGTCCCTGTACTCCAAAGGGATCTCAGTTGTTGCCAGCTCCACTAGAGGTTCTTGCATAATCCACACATCAGACCAGAACTTAGTGCCTTGGCCATTTTTAAGATTATAAGCAATCCCTTTTTTCAAAAGGTTCACAGTTTGAGAAAAACTGTTCCAGGCAAAGGAGCTTCCCTTTATTTTGCTAAGCACGTGAATCCCCTTCCTATCCCTCCCGTACTTGCTTCTCATAGCTCGAACCCACAGTTTATCCTCCTCCTTCACCAGGCTCCTTTGGCCAGCATAGCTTGATTCGCAAGTCTTGTTGGCCTTATCCCCACGCCACCTCGTTGTCTTGGCAAGGTCATCTGATCCCAAGCAATTGGGTGAAACTTCGTCTTGCCGTCCTCCTCTCCCCACACAAATTGCCGATTGATCCTGTCAAGAGATTAACAAATAGAAGTAGGTAATCTTTCGGTAAACATGGGGTAAACTGCCATGGAAGAGGCTACAGATTTCACCAGGGTAATTCGTCCCGCAACTGACAGATGATTTGCTTTCCATGCCGCCAATTTCTGTTGAATTTTCAGCACCAATTCTTGGTATCTGGCCTGAGTGATCCTGCCATTAATAGCTTTTAATCCCAGATATCTGCCTTCATCACTGGTTAGAGTAATCCCAGCCCTTGCACTGAGCCTCTGTGCTCTGTCTCTCTGGATATTAGGAGACACAAACATAGCTGATTTGTGCAAGTTCACTCTTTTTCCCCGAACTTGAGTAGAAATCCTCCAAGCACGATCGAATCACTTCAATCTGACCACCTTCAGCTTCAGCAAACAAAATCAGGTCGTCACCAAAAAAGAGATGAGAAAGCTTTGGGCCACCCTTGGTGAGAGAGAGTGGTTTCCACAGTTTCTCCTCTACAGCTTGTTCTATACGATGAGCTAATATTTCCATACATAAAACAAAGAGAAAAGGGGATAAGGGATCTCCCTGTCTGACGCCCCTAGTCGGATTGAACTCCGAGGTCAGCTCGCCATTCCAGTTGATCCGCATTTTGTTTCTCTCCACGCACGTCATAATCCTGCTTATCCAAGAACTAGGGAGGCCTATCTCCCCCAAAGTGTCCCGAAGAAATCCCCAGTGAAGGCGATCATAAGCCTTCTCTAGGTCTATCTTAATAACCAGACCTCCCTTAGTCCCTTTCCTTTTCCTCAGCGAATGAAGGACCTCTTGAAGCAATAAGATGTTGTCGTTTGTTTGTTTACCCTTGATAAAACCGCTCTGGGTCGAAGCTACTAGCTTTGGCATAAGAGGTTTGAGTCTGTTAGCTATGGACTTGGTAATGGCCTTCAACACCACATTATTTAGGCTGATGGGTCTGAACTGAGCCGGGCTTTCAGGATGATCAACCTTCGGGATAAGAACCATCGTGGATTCGAAGACCTCCTCCCGGAGATTTCCTGATTCAAAGAAGTGAGTAGCCAGATCCGTCAGATTCTTTCCCACAATAGGCCAAAACTTCTGGTAGAAACCAGCTTGATACCCATCCGGCCTAGAAGCCGACATAGGTTTCATCCCAAAGATGGCCATATGAAAGTCTGTGATATAAAAAGGATGGAGCAGCCTAGGAGATCATCTTGCTGCAGACGCGGAAACCTGCCTCTAGGCATCAGATCCTCATAGGCTCCATCTTCCTGGGTGTACAAGTTTTCATAGAAATGCATCACTAAAGCCTTGAGGTCCTCCTGATTATCGATCCAATTCCCATTAGGGTCTTTCAGGGCTAGGATTTTGTTTCTTCTATGCCTTCTGGTAGCTTGCTGGTGGAAATAGGAGGTGTTCTGCTCTCCCAACTTGACCCATTTTTCTCTTGCTCTCTAAAACCACAAAACTTCCTCCTGAGCAATGATTAAATCAGATCCTTCTCAAGTTTAAGTTGCAGTTTCAGAAGGCCCGGGCTGAGAGAATCCGCCAATCTAGTAGTAATTCCTTGAAGTCTCGCAAGCAATCTTCTTTTCTGACGAATAGTGGATCCAAAGACCTCCCTGTGCCAAGCCCTTAGCTTCCCCGTCAACTCATTCAAGGAGCTGCAGAGGTCCGAGTCCTTGTGCCAGCTTTCCTCCATGAATTTTTTGAATTGAGGATGTAAGACCCACGCCGCCTCAAACCGGAACGGCCTGGAATCCACATTAGACGGCTGAGGCAGAGAATAAGTAGCTAAAATTGGAAGGTGGTCTGAATGGAATTTTGGCAGGTGCTGAATCACAGTGTTGGGGAACAACAGCATTCCACGAATCATTGCATAAGCCTCGGTCCAAACGGCTAGCTCTATGAGTTGAGCTCGTATCTCCTCTGAACCAAGTAAAGCGTGGACCCGAAAACCCCAAGTCCGTCAAACAAGCCTCATTCATCCAATTCAGGAACTTTTTACAGCGTCTGAAATCCCTCGTTGAGAAGACGCCATATTTCTCCGTTGGGGAAGAGATGCATTGAAGTCCCCAGTGACAAACCAAGAAAGATTCCAAACCTTACTAAAGTTGATGAGATGATCCCACAGAAGTGAATGATACTTGTATTTAGGGCTGCCATAGATGCTGGATAGAATCCAGCTTTCGTGACCATCTTTCTCCACTTTGACAGTAATGTGCTGCTTGCTGGCACTCAGGGGGATCACCCTAAAATCAGTGGATTTCCAAGCTACCCAGATACCACCCGATCTGCCATCTGCGTCAACGCGAATAACTTCATCATAACCCAGCTTGCTACAAACTGTGTTAGCCTTATCTCCACTGATCTGGGGCTCCAAGATAATTAGAAAATCCGGTTTATGCGTATCCCTAATCAGGAAAATGGCTCTTCTGACTTTCATACTACCTGCACCACAAACATTCCAGGATAAAATTTTAAAGCTAGTTTGATAAACCATAAATAACAAAATCAAGGAAGGGGGGAAAGGAAGCGGCAAGAGAGGGTCGGGGATTAAGTAATCGTGAGGTTTGTTGGCGCCTTGGACTCTTCTTGAATCGCAGCAGCCGAGGCCTCCTTTATCATCGTTTCCCCCATCGCCACATCCCCTGAACTCGCCTCGCTGAGATTCTCTGATAGTTCCGCCAGATTTTGGGAGGTATTGCAGATTTCCTCTATTGCTTTAAGGGAGATCGGGAGCGGAATCTGCTTGTGCTTCGAGTGAGTTTCCTTCTTCCCGGGGCTGTGGATTTGAAGAGGCCTCTTGGTCGTTTTAAGATTGATTCCCTTCGGTTGCAGGGCTTGGTTTTTCTTCTGCTTGTGTTCCTGTTTTCTTGCAGGAAGGGTATCAGAGTTGGGGTTTCGATTCTCTTTCTGTTGAATGCTCAGATCAGGGACGGCGAGAATCTGGATTTTGGTGTTATTCATTTCCAAGACCGCCTGCGAGGAGTGGAGATTGGGCCGTGTCAAGCTTTGTGCAGTGGGTTTGGATGATGAAGCTTTGGGCTCTATGTTCCCGTCTGTAGTCGTATTCTCAACATTCTTGGGCCCTACTTGGCGCCATTCTTGGGCCAGCCCAAGTTTGTTGTTACCGTTGGTCGATTTATGTTCCATCTTCCCTTTCCCTTTATCCGTCCCCTGATTTCCCTGAACCATCCCCTTGTTCTGCTCCCCCTTTCCTTTTATGCCCTGATTTGACTTCCCGATTTCAGCCTTCCCCTTTCCTCTAATTCCTCCCGAAATTGCGCCCCGTTCTTAATTCTTTCCTGAGATATTCCCCTGATAGTTCGGCTAATCTGGCGCTGGCTTCCTATTGTGGCGTTTCGACTTCCTGACGACCTGCATCCAGGGGCCGTACACGGCGGGAATTTCCGGCCACTCTTTCACCGGCGAGGTGTTCTGCAGTTGATCTGGTGCCGCTATAATGTACAGAAGAGGTGGCGGTTGCTTCAAAGGGCACGACTCCTCCATGTGCCCTATTCGCCCACATGAGTAGCATATCATCGGAAGGTTTTCGTATAGAACTTGTTGCCATGCTCCGTCAAGTCTGATGCGCGTGGGGAGGGGTTTGCTCATGTCTAGTTCAATGGCTATCCGAGCAAACTTACCCCTCTCAAGATTTTTTGTGTGGTAATCCAGTTTCACTATCCTGCCGACGAGATTGCCAATAGCAAAGAGAATTTCCCAGTGATAGAAGTGAACAGGCAGTTCAGGAAATTGAACCCACGCCACTACTGATCGATAGGGTTTATCGGAAGTACAGAAGGCCGGCGTCCATTGATGAACTAGCAGGTAGTGATCCAGAATGACCCACGGACCTCCAGTAAGGGCTTTCAAGTAATCCTGATCATTCCCGAACGTCGCTAGGAAAGTATCGTTGTTTAAATCCATAATCTCAAGCGAGCCGATCGGTCGCCACATCCAGCAAAGTTGTGAACAGAGGTAGGAATAGGCCACCGAGCGACCCAACAATCGAACAACAAGCGTCTTTCTCCAGGGCTGGCAGAGTCTTTCCTTGAGATTTTCCGATATTTTCAACTCTGGTTCTCCTTGAAAAGAGCCCGCCTCCAAATCGTTTGTTCCTACGAAGGTCCATTGGGATCTCGACCTTGATGTTCCTGATGCATTCCCAGCCAAAGCTACTTTAAAGCTCATAGGTTGTGTCGATCGCTCACTCAGTGATGGTACCTGCTCTTGTAAGGAGGGAGCTGAATCATCCGGCGGCCGTCCAGACAGGCCTGGGTTCGTCGCCGATGGTGAAGAGCCCATAGTATTCAGAGAGAGCATTTTAGAGAGAAAGCGATCATTCCTACATGAATTTGATCATAAGTTTTCACAAAATCCATTAGTGGAATGATTTAAGTAAGAATTACCTTCCTTTCTTAGAGGTTCAATTTTATTTCCTTCTAATGATTCTTGAAGTTTTACCGTAAGACTTTATTTCTCATCTTCTAAGACTTCAGCTTTCTTAGTAGTTTCTTTTAACTCTTCTTTTAATCTGAACACCTCCTTCTTTAGTTCATCATATTCAATTTTTATCTTGGCATAATCAGATTTTAATTTTGAATATTTTACTTTAACATTTCCAAATTCCAACTGGATTTCCTTGATAGTAGATACTAATTGATCATCATCACTATAGTAATCACTATAGCTAAATGAAGCAAGGTTGGAAGATTTTACCTCGTTTGAGTTATGTCTCTCTAATGGTTTCTCAACGTCAATAGCCATGTAACTTTCTTCTCTTGTTTCCTCTTCATCTTCATCTTCTTCGCTGCAGCTCCATGTTGCAGCCATGGCTCGTTCTTTTCGTACTAGAGGACATTCAGCCTTGATATGCCAGTTTTCCCACATCTAAAGCATCCGATAGTGTTTTGAACCTTAACTGGCTGAAGATGTTCATTCCTGCATTTGTGGAATGCTCTTGATTGAGGATATTTTGTTACACCAGCTTATTTCTCAAATTCTCTATTCTTGTTAACGAAGTTTCCTCTTCGTTTTTCTTTTCTCATACGAAGCAATCTACTAATTTGCTTGCTCACTAGGGCCAATTCTTCATCCTCCATATCTTTGAGATCTTCAGTATCTTCGTTGTATGTTGTAGCCTTGAAGGCTATTCCCTTCTTTCCTTTATCAGAATTTCCTTTGTTGAGCTTGTCTTCATGAGTGGCTAATGACCCGATGAGTTCATCTATAGCTAAAGTCTCCAGATCTTTAGCTTCTTCTATTGCAGTTACCTCTGGAGTCCATTGCTCGGGGAGACTCCATAATATTTTTCTAACAAGATCTCCACTTTCCTAAGATTTTCCGAGGTTCTCCAGACTGTTCACAATGTTTGTGAAACGCTCATACATTTGCCAGATAGTTTCTCCTTCTTCCATTTTAAACAGCTCGAATTTTGTTTTAATGAATTGATTCGAGATGTTTTGACTTGAGAAGTATCTTCATACGTAACCTGGAGCTTGTCCCAGATTTCCTTAGCAGTCTTGCTTCTAGTAACTTTGTGATATTCTTTTGGCCCGAGTGCACAGTACATAAGATTTGTTGCCTTGCGGTTTTGCTGAAACTTTCTTTGTCTGTCCATTTTTCTTGATATGCATTGAGCTCATATGGACCTTTGATGACTCTAGCCCAGATTTTTGGATCTGTGGAACCAACAAATAATTCCATGCGATTTTTCCAATACCCATAATTAACTCCTTCAAATCTGGGAGGCCGATTTTGAGAGAATCTGTCAGCCAGATAGAGTGGAGCATTATTTTTAGAACCCGAAGCCATCTTGATTAACACCGGAGGTCGTTGAACCTTGTTCTACGGTGACAGTGCTCTGATACCACGTGTTGGTTGCGTCGAGCGCAAGACTTTATACCTGTCTTTTAAATAACTTAATCACAATATGAGTAAGAATGGTTAGAGAACCTAATTCAGTAGTATACTTAACCAGTTTTAATCCTATTGAGATTATGATTTTATCAAAACAATTAAGGTGCCTACGAATTCTCTTCTCCTAGGATTACTTTCTTCCAATTTTCCTTAGACTAGTTTTACCACACAAGCAGACCCACATGTACTTATAATCTGTTGAGCTTTAAGGCCTTAAAGCCCACTCACAGCCTTGCACTTATTGAATCAAACCCGACCCAACTTGTAGAGACAAGTTTTACGGTGAGTTTTGGTTTTTCAAACTCATAAAAGAACCAAAATCATGAACACCAAGAATAGATAAAAAAAACCAGCAGTTCTGCCCAAAAAATTAGAATCGAATTAACCAAACCCAGGAAATAAAAGCCGATGATTAGCACTTCTATCAGGACTTCCTTTCTCTTCAGTTCTGATCGAGATCCCTGCAATCACAGACTAGACAGAAACGCACACAGAAGCATTCACAGAACTAAAACAGAAAAACAGAGTAAGAGCACAACAAGCGATTTTTACGTGGTTTCCAATATTGGGAGAATGAGGATTCCAATACTGACTACTCCACGGTCGGAGACTCATAGTTGTGTGATCTCCGACGATTCCCTAATGATATTGCGATGAAGTTCTATATAACACTATCTACCCAAGAACCCTTTGATCAATCTCAACCCGATTGATCAAACTCACTACAAAAAAGACAGACAGTTGTGACGAAAACCTACCAACGACACTGCTTTTTCGTGAGAAATAAGTATTATTTTCAACGAAATGGACATTTTGTTGTAAGAAAAATTATTATTTATGACAATAAATTGTATGCGTCATAAATTATTAGAAAACCCGTTGGAAATAATAATTTAGGCAAATTTGAGGAATCGTGAGTACCTATTTGTGACGAAGCCTGCTATAGCGTTGAAAATAATTATTATTACTAACAAAGTGAAAAAATGGCGTCATTAATATATGCTTTTTTCGACCCCCCAAAAAAGGTCGTGGGAATACTCGAGTTTTTTTTACGAACCATCTCCATTGTCAGAAATGTTTCATTGGAAATTATATTATTTATGAGTAATATCTTGCTCCATCAGAAAAACTCTACATTTTTCGACTATCAATTACTGGTCTTCGAAAAATTTGGTTGTACTAAATGTACGTTGCAATACGTCACCGGAATCGTCATAATCACCATAGTATTTTTCACGAGAAGTATATATTCTCGGGAGATAATGTTATCATATATAAGTTCTTATGACCAAACCATTGGTCATCACAAATAACATGTTAAGATTACCAATGTTTTAGTAAGAGGTGATCATTTCTGACGAAAAACATAATTCGGTTGGAAATAATGTATAATGTACAAATTTTTTTGCATGTTTGGAGGAATGAACCATTAACCATGAGTTTACAGTGATGAGCACACATCAATTGCACTATGTTGTTGTGTGTCAACTTGCATGTTTGTGTTACTAGTTACTAATTTACTAATGTATCAGAAATAGTATATTGTTGAGTAATAGAAAACTAAAAAAACTTACATCAAGGTGGATTGAACCAGACACCTTAAATTTACAACATTGATTTCACACCAATTAGGCTAACTTATTTTTTGTAAACTTTAATTCTACATTACTATTTAGTAACTTTTAAAAATGGATATCATATTTTTCAATCTTATTAAAGTCATACTGGACTGATCGGTTCATTCGGCTAACCCAAAGCATTGGCTTTTACACATCTTTCCGTTTTATTCTTATTATTAGAAAAACTTTCTCACTTATCAAGAATTGAACTTGTGCCTCGAAATGAAAGACAACATACTTCACCGATGCCACCTATAACCAAAAATATTGTTGACTTATTTAAGTGCAAATTTTTTTAACTTCATTAATCCATAACTCTATTGACTCAAAATCCAAATCAAATACCATTTGTACAATAAGTATAGTATAGGTACAAAACAATTTTGAACTTGTACCATAAGGTATATGTTCAAGTTCAATTAGACCATTGAGGTACATGTACAAGTTCAGTTGAAATTTTACCATAAGGTACATGTACAAGTTCAATTTGACTATTAACGTATATGTGCAAGTCCAATTTCACCATTAGCGTACATGGACAAGCTCAATTTGACCACTAAGGTATATGAACAAGTTCAACTGAACTTTTACCATAAGGTATACGTATAAGTTCAACTCAATTTGTACAAAAAGGTATAGGTAAATTTAGTTGAACTTGTACCATAAGGTATACAATGATGCATACTTATAAAATATTATACGCAAAAATTTTCCATTCTTTCCTTCGTTTTTCCCCTAACAAAATTTCTCAAATTCTATGAAGGGAAACTCACTAAGGCTCTCTTCATTTTTTGTTTTGTTTTGTAGACTTTCATGGGACCACTTTGCAAACTTTTAAAATGTGGGTACTAGTGACACAACGATTCTTATACCATTTTGCAACATTTCAAACATTTAAGAGCTATCAAAAGAAAACTTATAAGATTCGATGCTTGTGATAATTGACTGGCCTATAAAAGTTCATGTTATAAACCCTAACAGCAAGCAGCAGCCGTCCCCCTTCATCCTTTCCATTTCCCCTTACCAAACCTAAAGAACAGACTTCTCTTCTCAACCCTCAAGCGGAAAGCAGCAGGCCGCCTCATTCTTTCTCAACTCCCCCCTCTAGTCCTTTCAGCCGCAACAGCAGTGAGCGGCGACGATGACTTGCTGTTTGAATCAAGGCTGGATATGCTATTTGAAGACGGCATGAAGGAAGCGTGATTTAAATCGGAGCGATGGTGAGAGTGATGCTGGGGCGGCGGAAGAACGACGAAAGGGGTACATAGACCCCTGCTTGGCGGCCACAAGGACGCTCTTGCGGGAGGAGGATTGACAAGTGAATCAGAGGATTTCAATTTCAGAATCGGTGATATGTCCAGGGTTTATGGACCATGAATCGACAACGAGGGGAACTTTGAGCATCGATTGACAACCTGGTCGGATCCCAGAAATCCCACCTGGCCGCGGTGTTGTGATGAAATCCGCGACAAGTTTGAAGAACTGTTTCTGGGTTTTCACTGCTAGCAGTTTCAAACCCGGACCAAGAATTTGGGTTCTCAAACTACTGTAAGCATCCATCCTTCTGCCTTAAAGGATTTTGCTTTTCTTTTTTCCCCCGCACAGAGTGTGATTGATTATGAAATTGGTTAGTTATGAAATCTTAATGAAGATTTTGTTTTTATATACTCTGATTTTTGGGTTCTTGACGGCCTTCTTTAGGTACCAGGTTATCGACGATGACTTGGCAAAAAACTCGATCCCGTTATCGTCACCACCGACACAGGGGTTCCAGCTTGGGTTCGCAAGTTGAAGTTTTTGCAGAAATTTACTATCATTTGGGTGTGGCGCCTAGGGTTTGATAGAATTTGCAGTTGGACTTTGCTATGATTTGGTAGATTTGTGCTTCGTTTGGTAGAATTTGTATACGTGGGCTTTTTTAGAGGTAGGCTTTTTTAGAGATGGGCTTTGTTTGAGTTTATTCATTATACAATCATGTGAATAATGTATTAAAAGTATTATGTAACAAAAATTAGATAGTGTATTATGTAATAAAGTTTAGTATTACTATCTTCCCTCTTATATAATTTTTTTTTTTTTGATAAGGGTGAAATGCATTATAACCAAATGAAAGAAACAAATAATCTCGGTATTAATCTACTAAAATGAATTAATAAGCTACCATAAATGTATTTTGTACGAAATGTTGATTTTATTTATGACGATTGGCTCCACCCTCATCAGAAAGGACTAAAGGGTATTTTTGGAATTGAAAATTTCCTATTCTTAACGAATTGATTTCCATCATATATAATGTTATCACCGACAAATTGTTTTTACCGATGACACATCCTCATCGGAAATAATCATAGGGTATTTTCGGAATTGAAAATTTGATCCCATTTGCAAAGTTTATTCTACGAATCACTGTCGTAAAAAATGTAAAAGGGTATTTTAGGAAGAAAATTATTTATTTCTGACGACATTTCTATGTCAATAAAAAAATTCTACCTCACAAATAAACTTCGTCATCTTTTGAGCATCAAATATAATTTATTTCCGACAACGATATTTTGATTAGCGACAAACAAATTTTCGTCACAAAACAGTTTTTTCTGACGCCCTAACGAATTTCCACTTTTTGCGACGGGACTTTTTCCCATGACTACCAACGACTGTACATCGTCATAACTAGTCATTTCCAACGAAAAAAGGTCTTTTCCAACGCCAAACGTCTGGTCATAACTGACTGTCTTTTTTGTAGTGTCACTCTCACAAAACCCCGAATTGCTTCCCCAGCAACTCGAAACAGTATTTCCCCAACACTAACCCTCATAGCTATTCTCCCCGAACCCTTTGAGAAAACCCCTTTTCTATCAAGCTTGCTACACTCACAAAATCCCCTTTTGTCTAGCTAGCTATATTGATCTCCGAAAAGGTTCCCATTGTTGGTTCTTCAAGTCGCCTTTTATAGGCAGGAATATGACCGTTAGTCATTCAAATTCCTTCCCTATTTGTGATGTTTTAATTGAGAACTCAATCCTCTAATTTGATTTGTAGTGAGTTGGTCATTTGAGCCTCATTGTGTACTGTTGTATCCAATCTTCTTGATCTGATTTCTTCTCTAATTTTTCAGCCGTTAGAACCCTCCTTCTTTGTGTTGATTTGCTAGGTGGCAAATCAGCATCTTTGAGCTGTAGCTAGCCATTGGGAAGTTCTTTCCTTTATTGTTCTTGCTGATTGCAGAATCTCTCCTCCTTTATGATGTCTTTGATTTTCTTTCCTTTACTTACAAGATTGCAGCATTTTCCTTCTTTGATTGCGACCATTGATATGCTTGACTCAACACTATCATGGCTGTTGTAGCGGTCCTCTAGCGGATATGAAGTCCCAAAATTGGGTTGTCTTTGAAGACAAACAATTTGGGATTCCAACTTTAATGCGGCAATTTCAGCAACAACATCAAGAATGGGTCAGCCTTCCAATTGATCGTTTTGTCTAATTCATGAGTGAGCGCACAGGTCATCTTGGAGGTGGGAATCATCATTCTGTTGACTGCATGTGGGATGGAGCGACAAGATGTGGGTCTCATTCGACATGTGGTATTCTTGTTAAGGAACATCAGGGGATGGTCCTTGTAGTGAAAGGTATACAGATTATTGATATTGATGATCCTCTAGTGATCGAACTCCTGGTCCTCCGGGAAGCAAATTTTTGGTGTCTCGAGCTTGGGTTCACGGAGACGAGATTTGAAGGGGACACCAAGGTCATTATCGATAAGGTTAATCAGGTGGATACTAGAGACAGCAGGGTAGGGAGTGTCCTTGAATAAGTTGTCCGCCTGGTTGCTGGTCAGAATGGTTTCCATGTGCGATTTGTAGGTCGGTGTAGTAATAGTGTAGCCCACTTAGTTGCTCGAAATGGCCTTTTTTGTACCCGACTACGTGTCGTTACTTTGATTTTCGGACCTGGTTAAATTCCAGGATGTAATGATCTATTTGTTTGCAATCAATATATGATTATCTTTTGTGGAAAAAAAGAATGACGTGCCCATTAAGTTTAGGCCTAGCACGACTTATAAATTATTTCGTGCTCGTGTCGGGACGACCCATATACTTCGTGCTCTGACTGTGTTATGCTGTGCTAGCTCATGGACAGTCTTGCTCGATGGCTAGGTACAATACATATAAAACATATTTTTGATTGTTGCAAAATGTGACGAAAGTATTACCTATTACTTTATACAACGCCACTTAATGACACTATTTAAAGTATTGTGTATTGCATATGCAACACTTTAAGTACTTCTTACTAACACATTTCTAAGAAGCGGCATTTCCCGTAGTGAATAGTGTTGAATTGAAGAATCTGAGCAATATGACATTCCGACACTCTGAAAAGAAAACCATTAAATTACATGAAGCTCAAGCACGAAACAGAAGAATTGAACAAAAAAAATACAGAAGTTGAATTAGTTAACCCCACTTTCTGGGCAAAACAAACTTGTACAATTGAGAATCAATACAAATAATCAAGTACCATAACGATTAGCTTAACAATGATCTTCAAAGCTCCCGCAACCTGTATGCCTCTCTCTATTCAGTCTGCAGAAGCCTCCCATAAGCACCACTTTGGTAGTTTTCGCATAAACAAAATCCCAATCGGAAAGCCAAAATGAAAAGCAAACAAAGAATCGCCCACTCTCAGGACTTTTGTCAGTGAAAAAAACAAAACAAAAAACGAAATTGATCCAAAATGGACACCAAAAAACTTTTGTTGGGTAAACAGATAGAACCAAAAGCTCATCTCCAAGCCGAAACTTTGAGCAATGGTGTTCCTCTCCATTCCAGAACCATCTCATTCTGATTCTCCCCTTCAATTCGCAACCCATACTGACTCTCCCCTTCCCTCACCAACTCCCTCGCTTCCGCCAGACACTCTCCCACTATTCTCATCCCCTGAAACCCTAACCCTCGCACCAACTCTCGCCCTTCGCTCATCATCTCGCTCCAGCTCAATTCCCACTCCGAGGAGTGGATGTACGGCGCAACGAACAGATACTCCATCGCCAATCTCGCTTCCCCCAATCGGATCGGAAAGCTCCACTCCATCGATTCCAGCATCGCCCTGTAGTGATCCATGTACCCGTCGAAGAAGGCACGGAATCCACCCGAATCGTCGTTCGAATTCATCTTCCAACCAGAGCAGTCGCCATTGCCGAATGTCAAAATTCCTTTCGACCCTGTCTTGTTGTAAGCAGAGAGGGCCGACATTTCTTTCGCCAGCCGTAAGAACTCCATCACTCTGCTTTTACTCCGCCGCCGGCCCATGTGCGGCAGCCCCCACATGCAATTGAAAGCCAAGCACCTCTTCCCACCTCTTTTCAAGCTTCTCCGAACTTCCCTCTCCACATCCTGAATCTCCATCTCATCCACTTTCATTATCACGCCGAACGAGTTGGCGTAGTCCTGAAGTTGCCTCTTCGTGCCTTCGAATCTCCGCCTCGAATTCACGTGCCCGAATTCCTCGCTCTTCCAGTTGATCGCCGTCAGCCTCACCGTCGTCGTCGTCCTTTGCTGCGGCTGCAACACGGCGTCGTAGAAGCCCTGAGACGAGATCTGGGGGATTTCTCTTTGCTGCTGGGCGAGCGCGAGAATGAGCGACGGCCACTGGACGCCTTCCCCTATGTCGAAGTCGATTATGTGGAGCACGTCGGTGTCCTGCGTCGTCGTTTCGAGGATCGCCGAATTCGCCGCGAAATGCGCCACCATCCCGTAAGGGAAAATCCGGTAGAAGGCTTCCATTGCTCTGTCGAAGTTCTTGCCGGACTCTTGTTTCAGGTACTCTGTTTGTTTGTCCAGCGGCTGGAATGCGTAGTACAACAGCCGGTCGTTGATCTCGCCGGTGGGGCTCACTTTCTCGCTGATCCGGCCCGTGATCATCTCCGCCAGCTCCGCCTGCTTGTTCTCCATCGCCTCCGCGTATGCTTTCGTTAGGTGGGTTACGCTCACCTGGCTGTCGATCTCCGCCGTCTCCATCGGCAGCGTCAGCGCCTGACCTCCCATGAATATAGTGGTCGTAGTCTGCGCCGCCGCGTATCCGCCGCAATTCTCGTAGCCGATTCGAGTGTCGGCAAGTTGTTTCGATGGATAGAGCTTGTTAGTATCGTCGACCCCTCTTAGCCAGGCACTGACGTCTTCGATTTCGGCGGCCTTGAGAGCCTCGAATTCGTCTAACTCTGCCGCAATATTTGGGGGAACGGCGACGGGGGCGTCGCAAGGGAAAGCGGCGGGTGCTGCATTGTCAATTTTGTTCGGATTGGGGGAGAAATCGAACCATTCGTTGGATTGGATTTGGGGTTGCTGAACGGCGACGGCGGCCTGGTAGGCAGAGAAATCAAGGTGGTTGATGACCGGCGGCGGGGGGTCCAATTGGATTTGATAATCCGCGTAAGCAGCATCATGATCGACAGATATTTGGAAAGGCTTGGATTCGATCATGGTGGTGGGAGCGGAGAGAGACCCGCCCGCCCGAAATCGCCGGAAAATGAATTGAGGTGGTTGGACCTCGAAGAATTTCGGGAAGTTTAATCTGGACGTCGTTTGTATTAAATGGATCAGGGGAGTGGGAAAGGACAAAAGTGGAGATCATTCATACCAGCGCCTAGCGCATGAGTTAAACTATTGGAATTTCGATAACCCTGCCAAAAAACGAAAACAAAAATTAAGAATTGTTGCAGCAAAATCCCATCTGACGTTTCCCTCTGAGGTCTCTATAGATATTACGACAATCGTGTTATACCCTGCAAGCTGTAGATCAGATCAATGTCAAAACATAGTATCCGACATTGTTATTACTTACATATTTATCTTAAGTTTTAAAACATAAAATATAGTTATTGCTAATGTTAAAATTAAAAGTGACTGAAAAGTTGCACAGACAGAGTTGATACATAACAAACAAGCGAGTGGTAATACTACTAGCGTTGAATCTGGAAGTATCAGGATTGAATCTTTTAACTATTGTGTAATAAAAAAAAACTTACTCTCATAAAAAACACTACCTGCTATGTTTAATCTACAAAACGATTTCATCGGACTACTCTCAGTCTCTTATGTTAACCGAGCCTTTGCATAATTGATGACTCAACTGAATAGGAAGCACTTGATCATTAACAACAACATATTAATAAGAGAAAGGAATTAACCAGTTGGGGGGAAACCAGATTAGTCATCGTGTACAACCGAAGAAGAACAAGATTACAAGAGGGAGTTTGATATGGTCTTTCATTCTTTGATGAGACTGGGTCACTGGGGTCAGTCTTCTCTTTTCTATATATTTTTTTTTAGATAATGGTGATATAGATTATATTTTGTAATTAGATACTACTGAAGGAATTCGAACCTGAAATTTCCAGATTGAAAGCTAGTAGTATTACCACTAGACCAATCTCTTGTTTGTTCTTCTGTTTTCTATATGAGGCATTCAATATTCTTTTGATTTGCCTTTGTACCCTTCTTGGGTCAATTATCTTAACTTATTTTGATGGATAGATCAAAATTTTATTAAAAAACCAGACAACCAATAACAAACTGCTATGACACCCATAAAAAACATACAATATAAGAAACCTCCCTTCAAAGGAAAGAGGGTAAAACCTGAGATAAAAGAGTAAAACTCTTACCCCAAATGGGTAATTCTTGTGTGCCGGCACTGTACCGGACTATCGGTGTCGTTCACAATTGACCGGCTATTGTGAGTTGCTTTGCCGAAAACAATTTCTCTACCTTTTTTTTTCTCGGTTGGTTACATTTTCCCACTTTTCTTTTACCAGTCATGTATTATTTTCTATCCCTCCACAACAAAACAAAAGTTAATATAAAATAATTGGGGAGTGACAATTGTAGAGATAAAAGTTGAAATTAGCAGATTGTTTGGAATTAAATTAATTGAGAATTCTTTTAATTTTAAAATGAATTTATGTATAAAATTTATTATTAAATAAATTCATATGTTTGGAATAATTTTTTAAAATAAAATAAAATAAAATATCATGTTTCAAATATAATTATTGAATGAAATCCTAACTTTCCAACCATAACCTTATTGATTTCCAGTATAAACAATATTGTTATTACTGGAAATCATGTTTCAAGTATAAACTCAACTAATTTCAAACGTTACAACCCTTCCAAACGGTATGTAGGTATGCCCTTTTTCAAAATATATTCCAATAAGAGATTTCGTTTTTGGTATAATAAATCAATGCTCTGCACTCTAGTAATCAAATATCAAATAGTGAGGTTTTCGTGAAGTGAAAAAATATCCTTATGCCGGCCTAAGATGGTGAATAACATTGCTTGCATAAGCATAAATGAGTTTTTTTTATAACCAAAACTAACTCCAAAATACTTTGGCTCCGCCTATGGGAGCTTCCTCTCAATAATTCATTTTTATGTAATCATTAATAATTATCTCATTGATTATCCATTGGAGAAATAACTTTTCCTCGTCAAACGCACTATATCTCTTATTTTTATGTGGTAATTCAATTTTGTAACAAAAAATTAGATTAATTATGTTTTTTTGAAAATGACACTCACTTTGGTATATTTTAGAAAAAATTGAGAGTTGAGATATCTATTACTAAGTCTATACCTTGGTGGTAGTACTAGATACTTGATAGTAACTAGTACATAAGGATAAGATCGTATCATGGTGATATGAAATTGGTTCATGATGATATAACTTATATCATAGTTGAACCCAAAGGTTTTTTGGCTTTCAGAGAATACAAGTAAGTTTTGATAAAAAATAATAATAAATCCTCATGAATACTTATGCAAGCGATGTTATTCGCCATTTGGAGCATACATAAGGGTATTTTACCACTACTAGAAAGTCACTTCTTTATTATTTGATTACAAAAACATTGATTTATTATACTAAAAATGAAATCCTGAATTGAAATTTATATTCTAATAAAAGGATACACATAATTTTAACTAGGGGTGGCAGCCGGTCGGTTTCGGTTTAACCAAAAACCGAAATCTCGATTTTCGGTTAAACCGAGACATGACCAATCGCTACCGGCAACCGACCGTCACAACAGCCCCGGTTAGCTGCAAACCAGCCGGTCGGTTTTCGGTTTAGGTGCGGTTTAACCGAGGCAACCGAAAATGTGAAGACCGGTTCGGTTTAACTGCCTAACCGACCGGTAACCGACCTCTTGTTAGATAAGATTAAAAAATAAAAAAAAAATTAAAAAAAATAAAGAAAGAAAATCCTAGCCACACTTTCCTTATCTTCTTCCTCTTCTCTCCTCTCTCTTTTACGCAGACCAAACCTCTTCTTCTTCTCTGGTGTAGGCGGCGGGGCAACGAGGGTGGAGGCGGCGGGACGACGTCGACGAAGGCGGAGGCTGGGCAAAGTTGGGCGACAAAAGTTGGGCGAAGGCAGAGGCTTGCCTGCTCTGCTAGTCGACGACGACGAATGCAAAGGCGGAGGAAGTTCGCAGGCGAACTGGGTGGAGTCGGCGGTGAGGCGCGGCGCGGGATCGGGGAGATGGGGAAGGGAAGGGTCGTCGAATTAGGTTATTCGATTTGGGGGTGAAGGAATTTTTGCGGTTTTGGGATGGGGAGAAGGGAATTTTCGGTGAGGGTCGGTTAGTCGCGGTTAATTATGTCCGGTTATTCGGCCAGCCGGAGCCCTCTGATACGCATCCGAATACCGACCGAGGTCGGTTTTTGCCGGTTTTCGGTTATAACAAACGGCTAACCGCTAACCGACAACCGATTTGCCAGCCCTAATTTTAACTTCGGTATATGTCTATGTGACTCCCCAACTATCTTATATATTGCCCTTCAAAAAAAAAATATTAACATTTGTTTTGTTATGGAGGAATGAAAAATACATTACGTGTAAACGAAAAGTGGGAAAATGAAATCAACAAGAAAAATGGGAAAATGATTAAAAAATGACATATCAAATGGTGAGGCAGAGAAATTGTTTTCGGTAAAGCCAACTTACAGTAGCCGGTCAATCGTGAACTGTACCGTTGCAGTGGCGGCACATAAGAATTCCGCCACCCCAAATCCCTATAACTCGTAACAAATTAGGCTGATCATCACGCTCTAGGATAATCGATTCAAAACTTCTACATTTGACTCACCACTACACTGAGAAATACACCACTGCAATACTTCCTGCCAATCTCCCAATTTTGGAGGAGCGGCAGCCTGGAATACCATAGGAAGAACAAACCTGATATATGCACACTCTGCAAAGAAATGAAACCGGGTTTCATAGACTCTTAGTCTTGGGCAAAGGTTACACAGACTCGAGAGATTTGCCCCACGAAATCAACTTTCTCTTGCAGGTTCAATCGATCATTTAGCACAAGTCAAAGTATAAACCCATGACGAGGGATAATATGCTTGTCCTAAACAAAGTCTGTACCACTGCACTATGTTCTCGCGCTGCCCCAGTGAGTTCCAAACTCTCTTAACATAGTAGGATGCCATCACCTCCAATCCCATGTTAAACAAGACCTCGATTGTTATATATAAAGTTGTCCGCTTCTATACACTTTAAAATGCGCCTCCAAATCCAAGAACCAGCCGCTGTAGCTCTCATATCCCACATTGAAGTCTGCTTAACACGGTAACGCTTGATCCAAGCAACCCAAATATACCCTTTCTCAGCAAGAAATGGCCAGAGATGATGAAGAACCCTTTTGCGCCTTTGATTATTAAAAAATAAGTTTTTGTGTTATCTTATGAACCCCAATGATAAATTTTTATCCACAAATAATAATTACATCACTGCTGCAGCTAAGGCCTAAGGGGAGTAATCAGCAAGGTAATTGTCCGTGCTATTTTTAAATAAATATGAAGGGGGGGGGGGGGGGGGGGGGGGGGGGGGGGGGGGGGGGCTAGGGGACTCAGACAACACTACTGAGCTATTAATAACAAAACCAATCATCACTTAACACTTCAGTAAATAAAAAATTATGTTTGATTTCTCCTTGAAATAAGTTCTCGTTAATAAAAGGGTTGTTTTTATAAGAAAAACATAAAAGGGTTATACTCTATCATTCAGTTTTATCAAACATGTCCGTATACTATTTTTTACATCAAATATGTCCCTGTATTTTGGTAAAATGATCAAATGTGTCCTTTTATTAAATAGAGAAAATCGTCAACAATGGTTGAACCGAGATATTGGGAGGAAAAATGTAAGTTTTGTCTCCTGATTTATTTCTCTAGGTCTTGTGAAAGTAAAATTATTAGAGGTTTTTGGCTATACAAAAGAACAAAAAAATTCCAAAGTGAAATTATAATGGATATTTTAGACATTTGTGTCGCCAAACCAAGATTGACAATTTTTGGGTGAAAATTTAACAGGAGCATGTTTAATAAAAGGGTATAGTAAAGAGGCGTATTATACCTATAATCCTTAATAAAATAAAATAATAGTGATCCTATTGTAGGTTATGGAAAATATTTGAGATAAATTCGTGCATTTCAATAAAACTTGGTCACCTAATAGAAACCTTTTCCAAATTAAATGAGGTTGTCGTTCCAACAAACAAAAAGATGATTTGTCTACCTAAATCCATCCTTGGTAGTCCAAAAATAAGAATAAGCGAACTACACAATATGTTCTTTCTTATCCTTTCTGTGATGATGATACATGCTTTAGGGAAAATGCCATGGTTTGTTGAAATGTACAGATGGATAGAACC